CACGCTAAGTGCCGATGTTTTCGTTTGGGCCCTGGTGCAGGGATGTCACTTACTTTATTTTTTTTTTTATTTATTATCAATCATCACATTACATCAAGTTAATTGACAGGTGATTTGTCTATAAGTCTTATTTATTACTAAAAGTAGACTAAAATTAAAAATAAGAAAATTAAAATCTATTTTTGCTCTGATAAGAATTTCTCAACACTGTAAAAAGCCTTCTCCAATAACCATTTTTTCAAAGTTTTTTTAAAGCTAGCTACAGACTCTGTGTTTTTAATGAATGTGGGTAATTTGTTGTAAATTTGTGGTCCCATATATTGAGGGGAGAGGTGGAACAATTAAAGCCTATGTTGAACCGGTTTGATTAAATTTTTAAATCTCGTGATATGAGAATGGTTTTGTTGGCTTTCCATGAATAATCCTATATCACCCTTCACCATTGTGCGAGTTGATAAATATTTGAACTGTATAAGGTTAAAATTTTAAATGATATGAAAAATTCTTTACAGTGTGTAGTCTTAGGAACTCTTGCGATCAGTCTGATAGCTCTTTTTTGAAGAGTAAATATTTTTTTAGCCTGACAGGAAGATCCCCAAACAATTAATCCATAGTTCATAATAGAAGAAAAATAAGCGTGATATGTCATTAATTGTGTTTCTAAATTTGTGGTATATCTAACTACACGAATAACAAATGTGGCAGAGACTAGTCGTTTTGAAACATTTTTAATTTGTTGGTGTCATACCTGTGTTTAGTGTATACCTCACCCCCAACGAGGCAATCCGTGACTTCTGCGAAAAGATAGACTACCTGGAAGAAAGCGTGCACGATACCACCGGACACATTGTCGTGGCGGAGATTTCAATGCTAGGGACTTTGCTGCCAGGGCTGGACTTGTTGTCATAAACGAGGGCAACACGCCAACTTTCCAGCGTCCCGGAATGAGGGGAACGATCCCAGACATCACTCTTGCATCTGAGTCCCTCTCGTCGAAGATACGAGCCTGGAGGGTCCTGGAGGATTATACGGCCAGTGACCATTCCATTTGTTTGTGTCGAAAGAGCCGAAGCCCCTCAACTGCAACCTGGTACCTAATAATTAAACATACCCTTCAGAAAGTTGCCCCTCAATCCTAACCAGGGATACCGGCTACTTGGTTAAGCATCACTCCACCTGTAATCCAGCAGGTACGAAAACCTGAAGGCCCAAAATGAAGTGCCCTGACGCATTTAGTGCAACACTCGGGACCTATCCAATCCCTGACAGGCCGAAACCCGCCATCAAAGCCAGGAAGAAGGGGACCGTCAGCTTCCATTTCCACCACTACCCGATCGAGGCCATCCCATTGCTGGGAAACCAGGGATACCCAGGGCGATAGATCCCCAGATATCCCTAGCGGGCTTGATCCCAATACCCGATCTACTTCGTTTGCCCATCAAGCCCAACATTACTGCCAGGCCCTCAGGGTTTCCCAAAAGGAGGCGGGTTTAGAAGTGGGACCCACCCGGATGAACCTATCCACCAAAGGTGGCAACACCCTTAACTCAATTGAGGTTCCAGAGAAAACCCCCCACACTCTAGATAACCATACCTTCTGGGCTCAGAGACAGGAATTGGGAGGGATTGGCTTATGGAGTGCGCCCAGCCGTTACCCTCACACTGCGGAAAGTTACGTTCCCCTAGAGTGTCCCCGTGAGCTTACGGGTACTTGCCCGATTTCACCTCCAGGAAAGGCTACTTCCAAAGTCGAGGATTTTCCCCACATAATGTTGATTGCACACAGCAAGCGGGCCGAAAACCATAGAACCATAGCCACAGGCAGTGAGACATTGATGGTGCACTTCCACCTCTCGCAGAGCTGAACATCCCACCAACCTGGATGGAGGAATGTCACTGGTTACTCTCCCCTAAGGGGCTGGCTTGTCCAGTCGTCCATAGCTATGGCCTACTTGCAGCGCCGATTTCAACACCGAGCAGTTACCTCCCCTTTGGGGGCTTCGCTTTCCCGTTTTCCTTAGGCTTTAAATATAATTTGGTCCTGGACCAAAACAAATATTTTAAAAATTAATTGTCTTTGAGTAAATATTATCTGTTGTTCATTTATTGTAATCTGTTTCGAGTAAATGTAACTTTCTTTGAGAAAAAGGATAAATATTTGAATTTTACAATATTATTAGGTGATTAAAGAAATATTTGACTTTTAAAATTTATTTGAATAAATATTGTGTTCTAGCTCCATTTAGTCTTTTTATTGATGTTGTTGGTATCCTTGGTAAATAATTAAGCTAGAACTGAACATAGTATTTCACTTGATTGAATATTTCTTGCTAGTTTTAAGATTGTCTATTTTTGGGTGTGAAATGTCCCTCATTAGTGTAAATACGGCTCATTGACATATTTGCTCCAAGCTAAGAGTATTTGCTCCAATCAGGATGAGTTAAAGGATGAAATTAAGAAAGTAGAACAGGATTTGGCTAGTAACGGATACCCTCGATCCATTATAAACAAATGCAAGAAAGATAGGGCTACGCGAACCTATGCAAAAATCGCAAGGAAAAGCTCGTCCACATGTCAATCCTGTATGTGTCAGGACTGTCGGAAAAAATCAGAAGGGTTGCTAGGAAATTTAATGTGCAAACAGCGTTTAGGACACACACACTTAGGCAGAGTCTCGTCAAAACAAAACCCAAAAATGACACTCAGGATACTAAAAACTGTGTTTACAGAATAAATTGCAATGATTGTTCCAGGCCTTACTATGGCGAGACAAAAAGACCGTTGAACATTAGAATCAAAGAACACAGAGAAAACACCAAAAAAGGTTTAGTGGAAAAATCTAAGATCGCTCATCATTGCTGGTCCGAAAATCATCGAATTTTGAAGAGGATAAAATTGTCCATAAGGAACCTCATTTTTTAAAACGTAAACTCATTGAAGCCTCATACATTAAATTAGCAGACCAACCAATCAGTCAGTCATTGGTTGAAATCAGGCCACTTTGGCTACCCATTTTGAACAAGGAACTAAAGGATAGGGAACTTAATTGTTCAATAAATAGGGAAATAACGAGTTCTCCTCAAAATTCGCACGTTATGTTAACTCGTAGTAAAACTCGTGATAGGAATGAACAGAATTAACACCCATCTTGCGGCATCGTACATCGCTCCACCATTTTGTTGGTTTTACTTTTCCAGGGATCGGAAGCCATTTCTGTTGTCTCCGTGTTTCCGATTGGTCAGCCATGTTGTTTCAGTCTCATTGGTGGAGTCATTGCGAATGGTGCTATTAGTGTTCCATTGTGTGAGTTTTTTACGTTAAACCTTTAATAGATTATAGTGTTTTGTGATTTGTTATTATTTGCATGTTGTATCATGACTTGACTACTATACAGTGCATATTTTTTTACTACTACCCTCTGTAGTGTATTCCAACTTAGGTTGGGCATTTGTGTATTGTTATTTGTAATTTGTTAGTTAAGTTTTTTTCACCTGAGGACTGGATCAGATTCCAGATCCCGAAACGTTGTGTTGTTGTTTTTTACATTTGTGATGGAAAATGTCCGCAATAAACCTTTGATCATCATTGTCATAGTTAGATTTTTCTTTCTTTTCTCCCTGCTTACTGAAGGAGTAACTCGGACTGGGAAGGATTGGTTCCTTGTTGCATCCTGTTAGTAAACCCTCAACAAGGTGGCGCCCTCAAATGAATTAACTATAAAATATCGCCCGAGTGTCTGCTTTGCCCAAATTCAGGACTTACCCTGACCCAAACAGAGCTGGTCAAAACGTTTGCTGGTGGCATATTTTTTCAGTTAATTGAGACTGTTGAAATTGTTGAGACTGTTAAATTGTATCTGTTGCAAAAATTTCAGTCATCAAAGACATGCTACCGTGTTTCGGCAGGTGCCCGTTCGGTGGGACACCAAAAAGCTGGTCGTGGCCAAATTCATCGTAGTCATACTACGGGGAGAGGCAGTGGTACCTGCTGCATCTGGCATGGCTCACGCAGAGACATCAGTTACATCATTGATGACGCTGATAGTCTCGGCCTGTGATGAGTCAATGCCTTGCAGGAGATCCCGGTGCGATAAGCGACCTGTGTACTGGTGGACAACCGAGATCACCAAAATGCGACGGGCAGCATTGAGAGCCAGAAGCCTTGCTACCAGGGCCAGAGAACCTGAAGATAGACGTCTTAAGTCTGATGCTTACAAGGTGGCTAAGAAGTCTCTTCGCCGGGCCATCAACCGGAGCAAACGCAGTTGCTGGGAGAAATTAAGGGACGATGTCTATTCCGATCCGTGGGGCCTGGGCTACAAGATAGTAACCAAGAAGCTTGGCACCCGCTCTCCACCTTCCGTTATGGACGGGGCCTCAATGGATAGGATAGTAAAGTCCCTTTTCCGACTCACTCACTGCGCCCATTGCGGGACTTCGGAAGGTTGGACGACGTACCGCTGTTCAGTCTCGAGGAGTTGGAGGCGGGCGTTATATCCCTGAAGAACAACAAGGCTCCTGGACCGAATGGGGTACATGGTGAGGCCCTGAAGAAAGTATTTTCAAAAAATCTACAAATCCTTTTGAGCACGTACAATGCCTGTCTGGCCAAGGGAAGTTCCCTCCTGCTGGGAAACAGCTTGGCTTGTGCTCGTGGGGAAGGGAAAAGGACAGCCAGACCTTCCATCCTCTTACAGACCTCTCTGTATGTTGGACACTGCTGGGAAAGTCTTGGAGAAGTTGATCCGTTCCGGAATTAATTCAGCCGTGGTTGTTGTGGGAAATCTGTCCCCTCTTCATTACGGCTTCAGGAAGGGACGGTCAACGGTCGACGCTATTGAGGAGGTAAAGCGAGCCGTAATGAGAGCTGAGGAGTATAACAACTATTCTCGTCGGGTTGTGCTGCTTATAAGGCTTGGTGTGCGAAACGCATTTAACTCCGCGAAATGGTGCGATATGCTGGACGCTCTGGAGAACACTTTCCACGTCCCGGCATACCTCATGCGCATCATAGAGGACTACCTCTGGTACCGCCTCCTCATTTATGGCACTACAGAAGGCTCCAGGACGATGGATGTAACTTCTGGTGCTGCAATATTGTGCAATACAATGGAAATATTGTGATGAAAACTGTATGGCGTTGCTATACATGTATTTATAATGTTGATGGAAATAAATGGATTTGATTTGATTTGAAAATGTCCACGTAAAACCCAAGTTTCAACAAGTTTTGCTATGAATCAATACACATTTCCCTTTATTCTGACAAATGACTATTCAGTAAATAATAAAATTCTAGAATTTCTTTATTTGGCAAGCCACAGCCTGTATTAGAGGAGGCCATGGTATTCTTTTGTAGCAAAAAATTGTTATGCATTAAGTAGTTGTTTGTTATGTTTAAAATTCAGATAATAAATGTATAAAACAGGCCATAAATAATAAAAAAAAGACTTCTTTCCCTTTTACAAAATGTTTTCTATGCCACCTGTCAATCTGGAAAGGTTTTGAGTGTTAATTTGTGAGGTACCAAATTTTAAGGGGGGGGGGTAAAAATTTACTGCTACTCAACAAACACCATAACTTACCAGTTTTAATCCAAAATAGCCTGCTCCTAGGCCTATGTGTTGGCCATAGCTTGGGCTATGGGCCAAAGAACGTAGGCCTATTTTTAATCACAGTGAAGTATATACACACACTCACACGACATCAGTAATAGCCCTCCATTTCGCCAAATAAAGATAAAGTATTTAACGCCGACGACGACATAACCCCAAACTGGTGTTTTGTTTGTTGACCGATGTAAGATAATATAAAATTCTAATAAATGCTGCTAAGTAAAGAATGTGTTTATTATTCAACAAGAGTCATCATCACCACAACAACAAACTAAATTATAAAACATATGTTAAATGCAAAGGCATATGAATGACACTACAACCGACAACTTGACCGGCTCAACAGGTGAATTTGCGATCAGCTGTTGGCTAGTTCTTGAACTCACCACCAGAGCACTTAAGCCTTGGCCAAGGAAATTGTGATTTGAGCCGGAGAAGAGTTTTTTCGCTGTTTGACCGTCGAATCGCTCGTGAGAAGCCTCTTCTTACACGAATATACAATCACACCATACTACTACTTTATCCATTCAGGTTAGCTACGTTTTATTTTTAGACTTTCCTACGTTCATTTATTTTTTGTTATAACTTACGCATACTCGTCTACCACTTATTTTACCTGTTCAAGTTGGATCATAATTGTCTAAAATTTAATAACTTAAAATTTCACCAACTTAAAAGACCCGCCAGTTCCTGCCTGGCAGTGACTAGCAGTGGCTATCGTTTGGTTTTATTTGAATTAGTATCAAAATTACGAACACTACGTTCGCTAAACGAATAATTATTACGTAAATTTATTTTAGTTAATTAATTGGCCGTTGTAACACCCCTAGACTTGTTGTTGAGTTCTAAGCCCCGTCTTTGGCGGGCGAGAGAACCTAGTCTTGGGTGTGTTCAGATTTGAATAAGTAGTTATGAATATTAGCATTAAATTCATTTAAACCGTACCACGCTAAATTCTCAGTTCAAATACATTAATTAGGCTCCGTAGACTCTGTAGGGATTTCACACAATATTTTGTTCACTCGATCGCCGCATTTTGTCTTAACCACCAACGTCATTAAATTAGTTTGAAGTTCACACGATTAGTTTTATCAAATTGGCTAAGATAGAATACCCATTGGTCCTACAGAGTCAATCAAAAGTTAGGCAAAATTATCCAAAACACTTTAAAGAAGGTGAGGATGATATAGCTCCAACTGAGCGTCTGCAGGTTTTCCTGAGCGCTTCTTGAGCTCTGAGCCTTCGGTCTAATAAATTGATCAGTCAAAGCCGTGACAACTTTGTCTCGACCCCTGGATTTTTCTCGGCTCCTTCTGAGCACTTCGGGGAAGAAATTTGAGTGTGGCGGGTTCTAGGGGTAGGCCTAGCCTGACTTTGGTGAATACCAGTTTATTCGCCCCCCTAAAATTTAGTGTCACAAATTCTTCTAAAAATGCTCAGAGTAAATTTTACTTGATTTATTAATATTCCTTAATGGTGCTAATTATGAATTTTGTTTTTAGATGTTGAAATCAAAGGTCAAGGCCTCAACATTCCCTGACCACGACAACTGTTCCGAAGCAGGTGGAGAGCAGGAATATCCTGTAGAGCAAATTAAAAAAAAAAGGATTGTCAAAGGCAAAAATCAATATTTTATTAAATGGAAAGGTTATCCAGACAGTGAAAACTCGTGGGAACCGACTGAGAACCTTCATTGCCCTGGCCTTATCAAACAATTTGAAGAGAACTTAAAAAAGAAGAAGGATGAGAAACCCTCTGTTTCTGAGGCATCGAAGAACAAATCGATGATACCATATACGTCCTCAAAACCAGCCAGCAAAAGGGACAGGAAAGACGATAAGGACAAAGATATGCCCAAACCTTCAAAACAGAAAAAGGTGGAAAATGAGGCTGAAGCACCGAAGGGTTTTGATAAGAAGCTAATCCCAGAGAAAATAATAGATGCAGACAAATCCAACGGAGAGCTAGTGTTTTGGATGAAGTGGAAAGGTACATTTTTTAAACTTTTAATTTATGATTAGCTAGCTAAATATATAAGGCTATTATATTATGAAACAAGCTAGTGAACAAACCTATAATTGTAGCCTAGCCTTAACACTAATACCGAAACCCCGGTCTGACAGGCCCACGGGAATTTTCAAAAACGCATGTTGGCAACACTGTTTACTTGGGAGATTCCATTCCCCAAATACCTTCCCCCCTTTTCCTCCAATACAAATTAATTATTGTTTTTTCATTTTGCATGGGTGCTGTGACCTTGACAGGTTATCTGTTCATAACATGTCCGTCTCAGAAGCCCAGCTTTAGTGTATTTTAAAGCGGGGTTTTACAGGCCGAGGGTTTCAGTTTGTGTGTTTCTAAGCGGGTTCCATTATTTTTCAAATGGGGGTCTCACAGACCGGGGGTTTCGGTATTAGTGTTGATTTTTGTTAAATAACCTAAATACTACTTTGTTGTCAAGTCTACTTATTGTTTTTCGTCTACTGGCGGTACTGGTACTAAAGCTATTGTCCCTGGCTAAACAGCACACAGGATCAAGCAAGTTGAAAATGTCATTCTCAAACTGAACTTTATCATTGTTGGCCTAGGCAGTATAAAAAGCTTGATATAACTGTTAGATTGAATTGGTTTATGTTAGTAATCTCATCTTATCTTAACTGAGAAAGAGGTTGCCTAAGACGTGCGCATGATGTCACCCGTCGACCCGGACGGTACTGCTTTTAATTCACACAGCTGGGCCACCTGTCAAATATGTTGTTATTGTTGTTTGTTTTTGTGTACAATCATTGCGTTTGAGTAAGTTTCTTACTGGTTTTATTTATTCTTATATTTTTATACTTTGTTTTAAATGTTTATAGGCTACTGTTAAAGTGCACCATCCGGGTTGGCGGGTAACATCATACACACAACAGATTAGGCCAAATTTAACCGAGCGATATAGGTGGAATTTCCCTTGATCGTAAAAAATCGTAGACATCATTATTGTTTGTTTGAAAAAATCTTATCATGTTCTAAAAGATTGTTAAGCAACTACTACAGTCCGCTGCAGCCTTGTCAGCCTAGTGGTAAATCTGTCACTGGGCGAGAGTAGTGGAAGAGTAGTAGAGAGGTTTGCAGGTCTATAATTAGTTGACAAACTGTGATGAGGTACGCAGGTGCCTAAAGCCTGGCTCCAATCTTTGGAGCACAAACAAGGAATGGCGTTCCATTGTGCCTGCTCTGGTGTACATTCAAAACACAAGTGTATGATTTCACGTTACTCGATCATCTGCCAAGAGGTTTAGCTTAAATATATTTTTCTACTTTGTAATAACTGTGTTACTGACTATTGTCAAGTGCTTACAAATTATTTTACTGTTTATAATACTTGTATTTCTTCATTCCAGGCACAAAAAAGATTAGTGTGGTGCCTGCCAAAGAGGCAAACTTAAAGTTTCCCCAAAACGTGATCAAGTTCTACGAAGAACGGCTGGATTGGATCCCCCCTCTGAAGGAACCTTATACTCATAGGTCTCTTCCTTGTGCCATGTATTTTTAAATAGGCCTACTCGAAAAATATTAGGTCTGTTGTGAGTTTCCTCTAATACGAGTTATTTAAAAGCAGTACCAGTGTATATTACTGCAAGATACTATTTTTTTACAGGATTTTTTATTGTAGGTCTATGTGTAGTTTCAATTCTTTAATTGACAAATACAGTTTTTTATATTATTTATATTATTATATTATATATTTATATTATTTTTATTTTTTATGAGTAATTTTAGAATCTTTTGTGTGTTGTACAGTATATCTAAAACCTAATTATTGTAAAATATAAAAAAATATGTCAAAATATATTAACCTATATTTTAACCTATATTTAATAACCTATATAACCTATAACTATATTTTAACCTATATTAACCTATATTTTAACCTATATTTTATTTAACTGCTGTTTACCCTTCCTATGTGTGATGTATATTTATCAACCAAAACTAAATTTGTATTGATACGGAGGCAATATTTTAAATAACCTCGACCATCTTTATTAGTCCTGTCAATCAAGCAAACAAATTAGTTGGTTGCAATTATTGAATTACCAATTGTTAGTTGTACTGTACTTAGTTATAATCAATATTTTTTAGAAATAAAAACTTGGGTAAATAATATATTCAGATGTACAACCAGTGATTGTATGCCTTACATATACACTCTTAATTAATGTTTTTTAATTTTTTAATGTTTAGAATTTGTGCCCCAAATGTAATAATAGTGCAATAAATAAATAAGATGTTAAGATTTGTTCTATATGTAAAAACGGGGAAATAAATTTTATTCATACTGATGTTTTTATTCTTTTGGTTTTCAACTACTTCATATGATCTGTAATGAAGGTATTTACTATTTTAGGGCTAATATATTTTAGGTTCTTCCTCCACATCCTAGGACGTTACTCTAGCCGAACTGTTTTACACATTGCTTCAGGCTAAGCCTAAAGGGTCTTGCAATTGACTAGGTAAAGTATATAATGACCTCTATTTCATACTTTGCCTGGTTCATTTTAGGCTTTGTGTAGAACCACACCCACCTTTAACTTCAAGCAGTGGCCTTCAAAGTGCCAACATCTTAAGTAGACTACTTAACACTGTTACAGCTGACTGTAACAGCTGTTTTGTTTGGAGGCAGCTAATGGTATTTGTGTATTTTTTAAGAATAGGAAAACTTGGTTACTCAGCTATGAAAATATTGACTCCACTTTAAATGTACAAAAATAGATTATCAATTTAAATATTGTTTGGGTATTCAATTCTACAAGTTTCATTTTAAATCTTTAAATAATTTGATGATCATAAATTTAAATTATTAATATGCTAATTAAGTAGCTGGTGTCACCTGTCTGCCATGTTATCTTATGGGACGTCTCACACTAGACATCACTACTTGCTACTTTGCCAATTCTACCAGGTCGCAGCCTGGAGTTAAAGGTGGCCGTGATAGATTGTCTGATTACATACTTTTCCTGTAACATTCTACATGTTACAAGTATTGAACCACGCCCCCACACCTGCACCCAGGCAAACCATTTGGAAGCATAATCCCATGTGCAGGGACGAGGAGGGGCTCACAAATCTACCAAACAACAAGAAAACCCCTGGAGGAAGAATCAAGAACAACACGACATTTGAGAGAAACCAGCTGTATTAAACCATTAATAACAATACCAACAATAATACAAGTAAATCATTCTCAAAGCCCAAAAAATTTGTATTCCATCTATACTACTAGCTCAGAGCCATTTCCTAAACTTAAACTATCAGAACATATTCTGTAAAAGAATTTAGTAAAATTTAACCTTCCAAATAAATTTCCAACAAATTCGTCTTATGAAGGTTTTTAACTTAATTACTATGTTGTATAGAGGTGTTTTTATCATTGACCTATATGAAAGTGTCAAGGGAATTAACCAAAATTTGTGTTATCGAGGAATTTGTTTTATCGAGGTTCGTACAAACGAGGTTCAACTGTATTTCTTTTATCACAGCATTTAGTCTTTGTAAAAAATTTACCTTTTAGTGGCCCCAATTTGAATGAATTTAATTATTAATAAAAGGCTATAGAATAAAGTTTGAAAGGAAAAAACAATAACAATAAATATAATTATGTGCTTAAAAATTCAACATCAAATAAAGTCTCTTTGTCAACAGCAACAATTAATTTCTAAATAAACCTATAAATATATAACACAACAATAATTGCAGTAGGACGGTTATCTTCTGGGCAGGTGAACAGCACCGGAGGGGCAAAAAACAGGGCTTAGAGGGGGCCATAATCCATGAGGCAGCCAGGGTGTAAACTTCCTCTGCACCAAGGTTGATGTGGTCTGCCCGGGACCGATTTACCTTTTCACTTTGATGTCGCCAGAGGCCAAAAACACTATTTGTTTGAATTTATATATATATATACATACTCTGCCGCTGCCGACTAAGCAAATTTCCATTTGCCTGATTGGATTTACACTAAAATGCCTCCTTAAAAATATCACATTTTTTCCCATTCAAAATAGAATTGGTTTAAAGAGTACTTAGGTTTACTGCAACAGTGTACAGTAAAATTTTAATAGTTTTGTAAAAAATGTATTTCCCATATTCGATCAAAATATATTCACAAACAAGCAAACTACAACAGCTGACGTCTTATTCTCCATTTCGTCTTATTCTCCATAAGAATAAAACAGGAATTTTAAAATATCGGATCATTTTTGCTCGAGTTATCATGCCAACGGACACGTACATATATTTGAATGGATGGTGTTTTTGGCCTCAAGGTACCTTAAGACAAAATACCCCCGCCGCAGCAAACCTGCCGACTAAGCGAATTTCCATTTGTCTGAATTGATTTTCAATTAAATATATTTAAATAACATTAGGATTAAAGAGTACCTAGGTTTGCTGCTACAAGGAAACTAATGAAGTGTGTTTTTTAGTAAAATATTGATAGCTTAGTACAAAATAAATAAATTTGATCAATATATCCATAAACAAGCAAACTACAACATTTGACAGTATTCTCCAGAAGAATAACATGGGAATTTTAAATTTTCTCCGTTACCAATAATCGAACAAAAATAATTTTACATACTAAATTACTTTTGTTTTTAAGCTCTTTAAAATGGTCTAAAGATAAATTGGGAAATTTTGTGTTTTGAGGGTCAACAGTAAGAAAAACTAATTTTCACCCCATAAAACCCCCTGTAAAGCATCGTTCCCATGGTCCGATCATGCAAGTTTATCCCACTTTACACCTTTAAACCAAATTTTGTCAAAATTGGACAAAAATTACTCAAGTTATCGCATTCATGGACGTATACATATATATACATATATAAAAATTTGAACGAAAGGCCTTACCATTAGTACTATGCTAATAGCTTATTCCCTATACGGGAAATTCGCTAATAAAGTAATTTTTATTTAATTTTCATTAAATTTGGCTTGTGTAGGGTGGAATAAACTTGAATGAGTTTGGGAACCAGCATGATCAGACCATGGGAAAAGGGTGTTATGGGGTAAAAATTGGTTTTTCTCATTTTTGACCCTCATGACATAAAATTTCCCAATTTGTCTTTGAACATTTTTGAAGAGCTTAAAAAAATAGTTTAGTATATTAAGTGTTTTTGTACGGTTATTGGTTGCCCAGAAATTTTTATAAATTGTAAATTTATAATATCTATGTTATTATTATGGCACTGTTGTAGTTTGCTTGTTTATGGATATGTTTTCATCAGACTTTGGATATTAAATCAGGCAAATAGAATTTTGTTTAGTCTGCAGGTTTGCTGTGGCGGGGGTATTTTAATTTTTGTCCATCAAAACATAAAATTTCCCAATTTATCTCTAAGCAATTTTGAAGAACTAAAAAAACAAATAGGTGATTTGGTGTCTTAAAGTGTATTTGTAAGGTTATCTGTAACAGAGACAATTAAAAAAATTGTAAATTAAAAATTCTTATGCTATTTCTATGAGATTATGGGTTTACCTGAAAAAGCGTCTGCATTGTTCAACAGTCTATAAAGTATTGTGCGTGGGCCGTCTGAGGAGACTGTAGACCATCTGCTGTCTGAGCCGATGGAAACCACTCAACTAATTTAACTATTTATTTTATGCAATTAGTGGAATATTAAATATTTTTGTCACATTTTTCTTCTCAAGAAATAATACTTTTACTAAGTTTTATTGGAGCATCAACAAGTACTATATTTGCGAATGATCCTGAATTAAGAATATTGGAGGCTTTTAGCTTTTCAGGACAAATATGGAAATACGAGAGGGCCCATGTGCAAATTGTACATTTCAATAGGGCTTGAAACTTGTTTGCAAAGAAAAAAATATCCTTTTCCTACAGTTACCTAACAATGTACATGTTCTCTCACTGATTTGAGAAAGCAAAGTGGCCAATTCGCTCAGGACAAATATGGAAATACGAGAGGGCCCATGTGCAAATTGTACATTTCAATAGGGCTTGAAACTTGTTTGCAAAGAAAAAAATATCCTTTTCCTACAGTTACCTAACAATGTAAATGTTCTCTCACTGATTTGAGAAAGCAAAGTGGCCAATTCGCTCATCAGTGAGACAATGTTAACATCCATGTGTTCATGTTAACATTGTCTCACTCTAATTACTTTGTCTCACTCCAGATTTGCAACGTGAAGGCACGAAATAGTGACCGCGTAACATGCAGGCAACGTCGTATGCGCGCGAAATACGTTGGCAGCACTGGCTGTAAATCAGCTGGTCAGCTGTTGTACTGTTGTATTTGTCACTTCACATTAAATGTTATATTAAAAGCTCACTTCTGTGTAAAAATAGGTTATGTTTCTTCACAAATTTATTTGTTTTATGGTAACTGTAGGAAAAGTATAATGTGCAACTCGAGTTCAAAGTGCAATTGCCTCACTCGAGAAACCATAAGGATTTCTCTCGAGTGAGTCAATTGCTTACTTTTCTCACTAGTTGCACAAATAACTATTTTCATTCAAATATTAAGCTTGTTTCAGACAGTTAGTCATTTGTCATACAGTATAATGAAAACTTCTAATATATGATAAATTAAATTTGCGGGTTGTAAATCTACACCCTGAAGAGTGAAGAGTGATTTACCAACCTTAATCAGGTTACAATCGTAAATGTAAAAGTAGTCTGTCATAAATAGTCAGCTAGGTTTCCTGTTTACAATCTAACTTAATCTAACATTAAACTGCAGAATCAGCCATTAGATTAAGATTCTCACTTAAAACCATTACAAAGAAATTTTGGTAGTATCACTGGAGCAAAGTACAGAAATATATCAAACACTAAGAGGGTGAAGCCCAAACAGGAAATTACCTTTTTAATTACCATTTGTCACTCCAGGTCATAAGCTTTACAATGACACTTAAATCGTAAAAATCGTCACAGGTGAAAAAGGAAATGTTACAGAGAACACCCTTATTGTAATCAGTACATAGCTATATAGAAAGAAGATGGATTATAATGGTTTTGAGACCAATATTTAATCCATCAATGCTACACCATGTGGTTTTATTTCACAAATCATTTTTTTGTTTAAATATGATTTGGCATTGTTTATTATTTGTAAGCGAATACATAAAATATGATTATGCAGTACGTTAGAACTACAATGTTCAATTTAGACTGGACCCCATTGGATAATCAAATACCCCCGCCGCAATAAACCTGCAGACTAAGTGACCTGTCTAGATTTCAACTAATACAAGGCCTACATGGACTTTTATTGCTATTTTTCTATTGACAGTTCTCATCCATAGAGATTCTATATGTGTACTCTTCACATTTCAGAATATTAATTTTGAAATTCTTTAGTTTGTTTTAGAAAATAGTTTTATTCCCTCTGTTTTGTTATAGGCTTAAAACCTATTGTAGATTTGGATTATGCCTACTATACCTCCATAACATTTCGAGATTGAGTTTCACATATACGCTTTAGTGAAACTCAATTAAGGTAGATTTCTTTTAACAATTTCTTATAAGAATAAAAACTTATATTAACACTTTCCTAGTTATTGCCTACGGTTAAAAACATCTCAACAGAATGTCTAAAATAATGTTGCAAGGGACTACAACAATAATTATAAAATGTAACTTGAATGTTGATTTATTTGTGACAAATTATACATTTTTTACATCTTTTCTGAGTTTTGGACGAATGGTTTCTAAGTCAGATCCACTCATAGAGGACTTCCTTCTCAGAGATCTCAAGGTTTTCTCCTCTTTGAAAGTCTCCATGAGTTGTTTGTACTTGGTCGCCCAGGCTCTTTTTTGCTGACTAACCACCTCTGGGTTCCTGAGTAGAATTGTAAAACGTAAGTTGTAAAATTTAAAAGTAAACATTCAATAGAACATAAATGCTATTGTTTATTGAACATTAGTACATTTTCAAAATGCAAACAAAGAATAGAATTGATAAGTAGTAGATTTAAAAATCCTTGCAAAATCATGTTTTTATAATCGATTTTGTATTGATTTGGAACTCTTAACTAGATAGTAATTAATTGTTGAATTCAGAGATGTGCATGCGTGAGAAGTTTTATCAATACTCAATCTTATCCTACTCAACAAAGCTATTGTGCATATTATAATGTATGTGTCACATTTCCATTCAATAAGATGACTTGTTACAATTAATTCTTCTTTGAAAAATCGCACCCAGGATCACAGCAGTGCCGTGGAACTATCAACTATCATAGTCTCAAGCCTCGGGAATGAATAATTGCACAATATTTTGAGACATCTTTTGTGTCTCTACTCTCTATTTATACAATAAAGGTATTGCAAATAAAAGCTCAGATCAGCCTGATTTCATGCATGGTGCTCAACAACTCCAGGTTATAGACTAGGCTTGGCTTGGTTTGAAAATAAAAAAACACAGTGCTAGTTCTATGACAGAATAATAGTTCTGGTCTTCTTGGTCCTGGCAAAATTTGTCTTACTTAATTAACTATTAACAAAAATATCATAGCCTACTCGAGTTCTCTCTATTACCTCTCTATGAAGTCATTGTCGGGAGGCAATGCCAGCTCCCAACCTTTCTTTGGCTTCGACTTCTTTGCCACTTGAGAAAACATCCCCTCGATTTCCTCGGGAGGCAGTGCCACCATTTCAGCGACCTGCCTCCGTTGAAGAATTTTCCCCTCGGAAAATTCGTAGAGCTGTAGGAAAAGGTTCAAATGAAATCTACTGAGCTCTCAAAGGTAGTTTAGTAAAAAAAAATAAAACAATAAATTTAATCAACACCTAAGTTGAACTTATGATTTTGTTACGTAGTTCACTTGGCTCAGTAACTCAGTCAGTATTGAATCAAATCTCTATCAAATCAATCATTCAATTATTAAATGAGTTACAATAGATTTTGTTTTATTATAAGAAGAAAAGTCTGTTTTGATATCTTTAAAGAACATAATAGATACTTGACTTAAATCCTACCTGTTACTGATTGATTATTGATTGATAAAACTTCACATGGAACATAAGGAGAAACATGTAAATCCTGTCAAGTTTTTGCATTTCAAAACTTGGGTGAAATACTGCAGGGCAAGATTTTGGGGTTCTTTTACCAGAAATATTGTGATGAGTGTGATTTAAAATACACCTCATAATACACATAGCTGCCGTTAAAGTACCAATAACTTATATTTCCCTATCTGCAGCCACCAATTTGTTTCCAGAAAACATCAATGAACGGGTTAAGAGCAACCACAATCTTCAAAGTATGACTTTGCCAAGGAACCTACCACTTTTGTTAAAAACCTGAGAGATTTTCCAAGCCAAGGACACTTGGTGCAAACCAGCAAAGCTTCTTCTTTTAGGTTTCTCATTCCATGGCATGGGATAAAGAATAATTAAATATCGCATCTGAATACATACAATACCTTCTTATAGCTTTTCTAACCTGTATTAAGAAAAAAAGATGAAAACTAAGAATTAAACCAACATACAATTAGAAAATATGACAGCTACAATATGAACCATGTAATCCTTAATAGAACTTATTACTCACAATGTAATCTCGAGCACGACACATGAGTTCTGCCGACACCCCGTTGTTAGGACTCAATGTGCCTTTACCATAGAGGCACTTGCTGTTGATCACCCAGTTGCCTTGTACTAAAACTGCCACCTTTACAAAAATGTAATACCCATTTTTAACTGTTGGCGAGTTGAAAAAAGAAAATTAATAAGTTGGTGAGTGTGGTTGTAATCAGTAGCTTAAAGGATTATATAGAAATCTATTTTATAACTGCTCAAAACCTAAGCTGTTGAAATATATTTCACATGTATTTGAACACAGAGAGAGCTAATAAGACTATAATATGCAATAAACGTATGTATTATACTGTAAGGTAGTATAGAGAAAAGACGACCGATTTTTGATAGTTCTAAACTGAACCCAGTTGTAGGCCTACTTCCTTCAATTACCAATCTGTCAAATATTATTTTTTTCATTTCAGTTTTATTAACTTGAACTAGCTAATTTTTTTCTCTAAAGACCAGTTGTGATTTAGATTTACATTGAACTTAGAATTATTAACATTGCTCTTTGGTGTTTTTTTGGGACTGATGTAATAACATCTGTAGTGTGCCAGAAATTCTCAATATTTATTTTTCTGTCGGGAAATGTCTTGTTAAAAAAGGGCTGTATCAAAGGTGAGGAGTCTCCACCAATCTTTAGCATAGTATGGGTCACCAGGATTTTAAAATTGTAGTTTTGCTCAAGTTGAAAAACTGGGAGCTACAGCAATGAAAACCAAAAACGATGACGTTACAGGAAATCAAGTGGAAGTTTATTTTGTCTATTCTAGGTTTTAAGGCGTATTGGAAATCATGTTGGATAATTAAAATAATTTTGCTCTATGATTTTTAGTTGTTTTTACTTTATTATAAATGTTTCAGTGGATTAAATTTAAAAAATTTGAAAAAATATAATTTGGTGATTGTATTAGCATGCGATTGTGGTAAACTTCTGATAATCCCTTGTGGCCATTTTGACTTCATTATCGTCTCCCGTTGCCGTCTCGTCTATCGCATTATATAGAGATTGTAATGGTCTCCCACGATTGTGGCAATGTGTTAATTATTTTCAGCGGTAGTGTAGAGATCATCGTCGCCTCTTTCAATCGCACAAAAAAATTTGGAATATTTTGTGCGGTCATGTAGACATAATCATCGTCTTTCATGTTCGTGGCAATATATGAACATATCTTGCGGTCGTGAGAAGATTAATCAGTCTATATGACAAGTTAAGAAATTTATAAATTTAGCTAATTAAATTTAAATTTCTACCACATACTATTTCATGTTTCTTGTTTTATAAATAATTATTGTATTCCTAGCGTATCCTATCATTTAAATTAACTTTGAAGTTTGTGAAATGAACCTATTTTTGTTACATCTTTAAGAGTAGACTTTATCTTAATTAAAGTATTTTTTTCTGTGGTATATTTGGCTAGACAACCAATAGAATTTAATTAGGGCATATTTTCATTGCAATACTTTGGAGTACTAAAAGAGTACAGGCCAGGCCTTTTAGACCCATCAGGGGTGCCCAGAGGGGGGGGGGGGGTACTGTCGCGCAATTGCGCCACAGGAATTTTTTTTTTGGGGGGGGGGGGGGCTTTTTTGGGGGATATTTTTTTGCTAGCTGTCATAATGTATGTATATTTTTTTATAAGCAGCCCGAAAAAGTGTTTCTAAGTAGTTCACTATCAACACCAACAACATTTTACCATTCATAATTAATATTGCTTCTAAGAATGGTAAAAACGCACCCTGTCAGACAACCCTTAACCCTCTAGGTGCCGCATTGAACACCTGTAAATGTCATTCAATTTTCGAGACTTTTGAGGATTTTAATTAAAAAATTTATAAAAAATCTAAATGATGACATAGATATATAACATTGTATATTTTTTTAAAGCAAATAAAATGGTCTATCTAAAAATGTATGATATTTGTGTCTTACCTTGTATAAAAGCAATTTGTTGTTGGTTCAAATCCAGATGTTCCAAATAAGTTTTAAATTTTTTACATAACCTCAATTGTAAAAAAATAAAAATCGCTATATTTACAAAAACTGAGGTATACATTTTGTTCTGAATGTAATAAGGAAAAAGAAAATAGATAGTTTAACCTTTTTTTCTTTATAATAACTCTAAAAATCACGACACACAACTACACAACTAACAGTACAACGTAAACACTCGTTCCCTAGCAACATAAACAAACAATGACATATGGGAAAACTATCACAGAAGAAAAATAGTTCGGGAAACGGCCGTCTTTTATGCTCAACATGAAGCCCAGAATCTCCTGAACAGGATATTATGCCCGATGACCGGGTTTTTTCGATCTTGTGGAATTATATCAACTGAAACCGTAGGCCTGTCAAGTCGACGTAATTACGGCGATTGACACTTGCGGCAAAAAATAGTCGCCGTAATTACGTTGATTGACACCTAGAGGGTTAATATGTACCCTCTACCTAGAGGGTTAACCTAGAGCCTATTAACCTATTAACCTAGAGGGTTAACCTAGAGCCTATTATTAACCTAGAGGGTTAATATGTATGTTAATATGTGTATGTTAATGACGGGGTCCGCGGAATTGGCTAACTCTGGAACTCGCTAACCCCATGTTAAACGCCCTATCTTCAAATTTGGTCGATGAGAGGAACTCACTAACTTGTTCAGTTTCGGAATTGGCTAACTCCGGAACCCGCTAACCCGCTCTAGAGCTGGGTTAGCGAATTCCGTCCTCGTACGGAAGTCGCTAACTCGGTCCCTCGGCGGAACTCGCTAACTCCCAATCAGAAGCCTCGCGGGCCGTCCAATGGGAGCCAAGCACGAAGATTTTTAGCCAGTGTTGCCGAAAGTGTAGTACCTATATCGTATCGGTACCATAATGTCGTATCCTTATTTTATTTTATTTTATATACCAACGGAACATCTCCAATTTTATAGTCTAGACATAACAATATTTCTCTTAGGTGACTGTAGAATTTAAATACATTTTTGTAAACATTTCAACCCAGCAATAAATAAGTGCATATGTAACAACAACAATAAATCCTATCCTACGAATAATTATAGGATTAAGAGCAACGTAGTTGATAAAATCGACAAAAATATACCTTACATTATAGTTGATAGTCGATAAACTATATTTAGAAGTATGTTTAATATTATTTTTATGATTATTAGGGTGGAAAATGTATTATAGTCTTACCATAGCCTAACCAACACAAGTAAACTTTGAAGCTCGTTTTTCGTGTCTAGTTCATGTCCGGTGACACTGATCGCTAGTGTCGACGAAATTGTGTTTCTATTATTTTATAGTTAACTTTATGATTAGTTCTTTAATGTTTGGTTATATAACTAGGGGACGTGTTATTAGTTGTGATTAGAACGATTTATTTGGTTAAACGAGGTTTTAGATGACTGAAAACAAGCAACAAATGTAAACAAAACACGACCTCTAAAGACAGTGCACCGGACAGATCTAACAATAAAACTGTCTTCAGCTGATCCATAAGGATGAGAAATGTACTAATATAAGGGGGTATGTTTTATATGTGGGTTTCTCACTTAAATAGTAGCTTATTGGGATGCAAAAAGATAATACTGTACATTTAATTTGGATCTTTTACATGTTATGAAATATCTATTTTCGTAGTCCGCCATTTGTTTCTTTTATTCAAATAAATGCCATTTTGTGAACTTCTGCAAATATAATTATTAAGTTCGTATTTTATATACTGGGCTTGTAACCTTGAATCACGAAATTGAATCATAAATCATGATAAAATGTACACGTTAAACGTCATTACAGAAATAAATTGAAATGATTGATGATTGAGAAATAATGGTAATGTTTTTTTTTTTATAGAGCTATTGAATTTAAATAAATATTGATCAATACATTATAAAGTGGTAGGCCTAATGTATTCATGGATTTCATTACAAATTTGTATATGCATAAATACAACTTGTAAATTTCTGTTATCGTAGGCTATTAGTTAGAAGTCGGGTCATCCTCTTAATTTTGTTTAATTAATATTAATTTTACGTCTTTCAGTAGGCCTACTTTTTTAAAAGTGTGGATTTTTTATAGTTCTAAATGGACCCAGACGTTCTTGTTTGTTATCATTTTTATGAATGGTGGCCATAGCTAAAATTACCTGATCTTATCCAAAAACAAAGCTATAGTCTATTGAGTAGCTCAGTACCGGGGAATAGGGAACCGAGCAATGGCTTGGTATAGTTTATTTCGATTGTGAAAGCAATATAAAGGAAACCCAACACTCAAATCAGAAAAATCCTTCAAGTCGTTGATTAAAAATCGTGAATTAAAATAAACCCGTCACGTTTTATTATATGAATATTATATCTTCTCCTATTATTTACTAGTGTGATGCTTAGGTGTACAATCTAAAAACTGTGTTAAAACATGTAACATTATTACTAAAAATTCAACACATTTTAGAATTAGGCAACTATTTACTAGTAGGCCTAACATGCTTTGGTTTAAACCATTAGGCCTACAGCTATTCTATAAGTTGATATGAAACTTGGTCTATGTCATATTTGTACACGTTGAACGATTCAACGACGAACATTTAATTTTAAGTCTATGAATTAGTTATGAAAGTTACGATGGTTGATGACTGTATTAATTAATAGTTTTGGTTTATTACGACATTACGATTAAATTTGTTTTCCGTGTTTGAGAACTTGCGTGTATTTTAGCTTAATTTCGTAGAGGTTTAATTATTTAGTACCTATTAAACTGAATTTTAAATATTTTTCATATTATATTATTTTATTTTATACTGATGGCATTTATATTTAAGATCGAAATAATAAACATTTAATTTGCCATTGTACAGTTGAATAAAAATAAAAAAACACTTTTTCATGATTTTTTTATTGTCTTTGAATTACTTTGGGCTAGCTAGTTATCTGTTAAAAGTGGAATTGATAACAAAAAACAATAACATTTACTGTATCTTCATTGACACTGACATTTTGAAATACGGCAGTGTGCGAGTATTTCGTCGAACAAGGTTGGCAACGCTCCGTGCAGTGGGCGCGGCCGGGTTAGCGACTTCCAGAGTTAGCGAATTCCGCCGCGAGACAAAATCGAGTTAGCGGGTTCCGGAGTTAGCCAATTCCTGGCTGAGACGGTTAGCCAGTTCCAGAGTTAGCCAGTTCCGACACACGACCGAGTTAGTGAGTTCCTGAGTTAGCCAATTCCTACGTCTCATGTCAAATTTTACTTTCTACATTTGTTTTGGCGGTTCTTTAACTCCACGATTGTCAGGCTTTCAAAAAGATTCACTTCTGTAGGTGTCATCAGAATACGTTACAAACATTTAACACAAAACACAAAACGATTACAGATAGGCGTGTACATTGCTATTCACGCGTGTACATTGCCGTCGGCAGGACTGGAAGTAAACTGAATCAGGTTCAGGTTATGATGGACCGACAAGGTCTCTGGATTGTCGTCTGCGTTTTTAACAGCTGATGCTGATATTTGACTATTATAGTGACTGAGAAGAGTGTTAAAAATATGATGGGACTCATAACTAATTGAGTCTTTTCATTCAAAATTTGTGTGCTGTCCCTAGTTTTATGTATTTATAAATTTCAAACTCTTTCAAAGTATTTAATAAATTGCCTTTCTGTAGTAACTTAGAATTTCGAGACCATAATTTATATCCAGCATATAAATTAGTTATTTTTGTCAATATTTTTATTGTGTATTATTAAATCATGAAAATTCAATTATGAATCCCATTACATTTGTAACACTCTCCTTCGTCACTACAATTAGTCCAATACCTATCAGCTTATTGATAACACAGACGACAATCCAGAGACTACGTCGGTCCGTCATAGCCTGATTCAGTTTACATCCAGTCCTGCCCATGGCAATGTACACGTGTGAATTAATAGGCCTATCTGGTTTGTAACATAGGCCTATACTGACGACACCTGAAGAAGTGGATCCTTTTGTAAGCCATGTAGGATATATGTAGTCGTATCATCAGACCCAATAGGAGAACATTAGGAGTGTCCAATCGAAATCGATCACCACTTACCATCTTTTTTGTATATTTACCGTCTTGTGAGTATCAGTATAAGCGTACATATATGTTTTAAGTGTTATAAGACGTTTCTTTTATTTAATTTCCGTAAATTTAATACATGTACAATGCTGATCAAGAAGATATTTGTATATCAAGGATTGACAAGAAATTGACAACTCTCCGGTCTCCACAACTGTGAAGAGGAGCGCCAATGTAAGATGTAAGGATCATCTGAAAAGATGTGTTTCTACCATTATTAGTCATAAAACGCAATTCTGGGTCTATCAAAATGAATTGTAAGATTACTTTGTCACACAAACCTTTTGTGCTAGTGGCAATTAAGGTATTGTGGACATTTTGCCCACCGATGTTTGTAGAAGGCAGCCTGGGAATGGCGAGCAACCCCTCCTAATCTGCCCTATATTGTTCATTATCCAACTAATCCATTAGTTATATACTGTATAATTTTGTATTGTTAAATGACGTTTCCTATTAAACATTTAATTTTGTTTACAACACAAACGTTTGCTACAAACCAATCATGATTTAATTTTGATTATCAGCAAGTTTTTTTTTTTTACTTCAAGTTTACTAAATACTTGAAATGCTTGTTTTAAGAGGTAAAGGGGAAATTGCCATGTAAATTGGCGGGGGAGGGTAGGTTTAAATAGACGGCAGTATAAATTGGGGGGAACTACTCCTTTGGCTTGGGGGGATTGCGCCTTTGGGTTTGGGGAGGGGATGTGCACCTCTAGACCCAATCACTGGTTAAAGGTCTGTGTCAAAGTTTGGTGTTCAGACAATGGAACAATTGTTATTAGTCCACACACCAAATTTTCTGATAGAAAAATATTTTGTTTCCATGGTATGTAGATAATTTATTATACATTAAAATGTACCATAAATAATAGATAAAAATTAAAAACTTCAAGTTTTAAAAGCTGTACTTGGCTTTGATTAAACCATGGGTCTATTATATGTAGTATACTATGAAATTTTTGGTAACAGGAATTCAATTTTCTGGGATGACCACACTTGTGACGCCTATGTTATCGTAGGACCAACCCGCGCTTCTGATAGCCTAGACATCTGTCCTCAGGAGGGCCCCACCCCCTAGAGAACTGTCTTTCTGATGATGACGATCACCTGGAGTTCACGACACCAGAGGGTACTCGTGGTAAACTACATACTTTCCCCATACTTTGCAGTCTACATTGAAAATTGTTTTCGCTACTCAGATGATATCTATCTTTTCTTGAAACTAAATTATTACAGCAGATGGACAACTACAACTTCCATAGAGTAATCTAAATTAGTCTGAAGTCTAGCTGTAACCGCAGAAGACATTCCTCAGACAATGCTCTCAATGTTTTAAAATGTTCGCTACCGTAATAGTATAAAATGTTTCATTCACATGGACCAGCGACGCAAATATACGACAGCTGGTTACCACCCATAGAATGTCGTCACATATATGCGGCTGCTAGTCACTTAAAAATAATGACGTCCCATATTTGTGTCGGTGTTCCAATGTAATCAAAACGCATCTTTGTAACATTTGAAGGACCTTAATTCTCTGCAGTGGTCTACAGGAATGTCTGTCGCACAATTGCGTCATTTGGTCTATGGATATGATGGATGATTGATGACGTCATATGATAGTTGGAAAACCCGTTCTTTACTTTGCTGCATCACTGTATGTATGTATGCTGTAAGTATGCTGAATTATCTTATGCAGCTTTTATATTTGTTCAATTATAAACTCTTCATAAAAAATCTGTTTTTTTTACTTAATTTCACTTAAAAACATAAACAAAAATGAATAGTCGCATAATTGCTGCGTTTGGGCTATTTCAAGAATAATAAAACTACTATTGTCTTTGCTATATAGATCGGGCATCGCAAATATGCAAGAGGTATTAAAAATATAAAAAAGCAAAAATATATTATTTACAAACACGATTGCAGGTAATAGGCTGCAGTAAATGTAAATAACCGCTGTTTCACAGGTTTTTGCCAGTGGTCTGCATGTACTGTTAACCAAGTGACAGCCAGTCTATGTGTAAGATTAAATTGTATACGCTCGGTAGCGAACATGTTAAAAGTTAGACTACGCAGTAAGCAATGCTTTTTGTAACTTCCTCTTAGATTTATATTACAACAAAATGGCACTAAAATCCAGTTTTCTGGCGAAATAAAAAAAATAACTTATTATACCCAGCATTCCCAGAACTCCCAGTCTATGGCCAACCTGAATGAAATGATACAGTTGACAATATGTAGAGTTTACCTCTTGTATGCTGCGTAACAGCTCCACCTCATCTGGTTCTCCTGCACCTGCCGCCAATGATGACAATTGACTGAATGTCATTATCTTCACTGTGAAAAGTGTTTAATTAGTTTTTTGTAAGGAAGTAGTTTATTGATTCCAAACTAAATTTTATGAATTTACTTTAAATGAATTAGTTGTTTCTTGCAGGGAATTTTTTGGATAAGATAACATTTTTTTATTAGTCATTTACATGACATACTGAAAAACACTATAAAAACATTTTATGGATTGTGTCATTTAGATTGGGAAGCTGCATGCACACAAGAACCTTTCCCTCTTCACTTTCGTTTTCGTTATTTTGTTCAGTCATCTCAAAAATGAATTGTTGTCGGATTAATTGATTAAATGATTAAATGATGATTAAATGATTTTATTTCCATCAAAAATTTGCAAGGTGAACACTATTAATATTGGAAATATAACTGACCACTTTAACAAGTTGTGTGGTCAGTGGAAATTAATTAAAACCACTAGCGCCTAGCGGTGTGACTCAGGGTTGTTGGGGGTTTTCCCTCATCCCTCCTACACCTTACCCTGATTGACGAAATTTTTACAAAAAACATTCTAAAAAATATTTTTGGATTAATTGAAATTCTTTCAAATTTTAAAACACTTCAAAAACATTTTAGACTTGCATTGTCCCCTTCTACAGCTTGATGAGAACTCAATCATCAACTAGAAGTATTTATAATTAGCTACAGTCTAGCCTTGATATAACGAACCTCGATATAACGAATTCCTTGATATAACGAATTTTTTTTAATCCCCTAGAACTTTCCATAAGACACAATGTATATTTTACCTCTACATAACGAACAAACCATAACAACTACCTTGATTTAACGAATTTTTTGTGATTTCGGCTAAAATAAGACACCTCAATATAACGAATTTATCATTGTCAGAACCTCTACATTGCGAATTTAACCTCTGCATAACGAATTGTCTACGTCTTTCCCTCGATATAACAAATCCCCCACCCAATTATTGTTTTGGGAAAATCTGTTTCTTTATCAAATGAAATGGAAAGGTCACGTCATCGCTTGCGCTAACATTCGTCTGCTCCGTTTTACATCTTTGTCTGCTGTCCCTGCGCGCGCTATGTTGCAACTTGCAACTGAGAACTGATTTCATTCTCTGAGGGAGGACTGATGACGTAATGTTTAGTAAGCTGTGATTAGGTGATATGGCATAACTATGGTGAATTGTACAATTTTTGGATAAAGAGAAACCTAAGAAAGAATATAAAAACAAAACCAAAGAGAAAGAATAACAACATCGTTATTTTAACATTCCTTTTACGAGTGTTTTTATTATCCTTAAGTTGGCTATGATTATACACTTTTATAATGACTTATCTAATAATTTATTGTTTTCAATACGATTTGTTTCAACTAGCAACACCAATGCTATAGTTAATGATTATTATTGTCATTCCTCTGTTGTGATAAATCAGTACTGTACTGTAAGTAGCCTACCGGCCATCGCGAGCAGTAGCTTACAAAACTTTTTACTGTTTTGTTTTGTTCTTTACATGGTTTATGACTACACAATACAGTGTTTGGCTAGGTTTTAGGAGGGTTAGAACAAGCTGTGATTTTAAACTTATAAGTTTTTAACCTGTACCAAGGTCAATGCCATTGCCATGATTGCGCAATATTCAAGATCCCTCCCCTTTATTATGCCGGATAATTTAGGTTCTACTGTACAATGTAGGCCTAAACACTGTACTGTTAAGTACTGTATTGTAGCCTATGCTACTTTAATTGTACTGTATTTTAATGAGGTCAAATCCCGACCTATATTGATCGACGCTGGTTCTGAACCTCAACTTAGCGAAATTCCTGCAAACCTAACCTCTATATAACGAACCTTGTTTTAACGAAATCCTTGATATAACGAATATTCAGTTCGGTCCCTTCAGATTCGTTATACTGAGGTTGGACTGTACTATAACTAAGACATATATAAAAACGGATTCATTTTCTCAATATTTGTGCACACTGACCTCGTTTTATAATTTCCAACACAAAATCAGACACACTCGGAAACTCCGAGGGGGGGTCCATTTGCACTGGGACAATACTGTCCATGTACTGACGGGGTGTTAAACACATAGAGTCCATTTGATCTTCTAGCTCTACAGCTGTCAATTTGGACCTCTCCACCTGAAATTATGTCAAAATAACAAGTAGAGGAATCCAGAAGATTTAAACTAAGCCAGATTAGGACTATATAGCCTGAGTTTTGTTGAAAAGCTACAGCTTACATGTGGTCAGTGAAAAAGCAGATCTGTACCTATTACATAAAATCAAACTTGTGTATTTGGACAATGAAGTAAGGTTAAATAGAAACCAAACTGCATCAAGTCAACTATAAATGCCGCTGTCTCTAACTGTAAACACAACCTTATAAACTTATCTTGTACGTTGAACCTTATTAACTCTTGTGTCTAGAAGGCCGAGCCTTATTGGATCACTGAAATTAACTATTTAATTAGTTAATTTTTAACTAATTAATTACCATTTGTTCAGCATATTTTTAAATGTAAAATTGTGCCCACAAACTTAAAGCAACTCTGGTCTGGATTGGATTAGCTGGTTTATGGAGAGTATGACTATTACTATTGACAGCTATTGGACACTGAAGTAGACATCCCATCGATATGGACCAGCTGTCACAAATATTTTACTTAAGAACATATAGTTGTGTGAGCCAGTCACAGAATGTGCTAGTGTCTAAAATGTTATATTCTACCATGTATTTTGTTGCTGACAAAGTTCATGGGTCATAGCATTTGCTACAGCTTTCAATAAGTCATTCCATCAGGTTGACTTGGTAAAAGATTTTGTATATTCGACAGAAACTAGTAATTTACTTCACAATCTGTCTGGCTTACATCAACTACGACAATTTTGATTAAAAAACTGGCAACAACTTTAACATGGGGATGGAATGTCTAGTTGTAACAATAGTCAAAACTATTACCTCGGCCATCTTACTACTGGATGGATGGTACTGTGTCTCATACCACTTCTCCTCGGCACTACGTTTAGTCAAGAAGTTGTATGATTTTTCCTTTGCTTTTTTATCGCTCTCTAGCCCAGCAAACTTAACCTGACATCTTTCTTTATTACCGGTATCTGATTCCTCTTCCGAAACATCTGTGATAGCAAAAATGTAAGATTAAATTAGTCATCTACACTGAACATGGTTCGGGACCTGTTCTATAAAAACAGTGAATTTTGTTGGGAAATCTGTTTATTTTATTTTATTGAACAGTAATAATGAGTACAAGGTTCAATATTGATTAACTATATTGCATTAGCTTATAAATATTAAGCGCTAGTACATTGCTAGTTATATTTTGCCAATATGTCTTGAGACAATAAAAAATTTTCAATTATGATTTACAATTTAAAAACTAGGTAATCTTTGTGCCCAGCAAGAAATGAAAATAAAATTCAACAACATTTTCAGGTTATTCAAATTCCAAAGTTGAAATTCCCAGTTCAAAACTTACCGTTAACGAGATAAAACTAAACATAGGCTATTAGTACCTACCTACTTGTACATTAATTTTTTTTTTTTTACTATGGTAACTTCAATTCTTGAAGAAAATTTTTCTCTCAAACCTTTTTATACATATATTATTGTGAATATATTCGATGATGATAAGATCTAGGAATTTTAAATCTTGTCTTGAATCCTAATCCAAATAAAAATCTTGGATCAAGGTGAAATTGAAAAAATATATATATAAGTTCACTATGAAATCATATTACTTATTTACTTACTTACTAACTATTACTGTATTTACTTTATTTTGATTCTGTTTCAAAATTTGTTTTTGGTTTTCAAATAGTTTATATTAGAATTGCAGCAACGTAGGAACCATTTCTTGTGATCTCGTTGATACCGCAGTCAAAATTTTATTTTTTAACACAACAATCTTAAAAGATGACTTACATAAAACTGTCAACGAATGGGCTTGATAAGCTATTGGCAATTATTCCAAAATTCCTGAGCCCATACAAATTTACAGATATCATTCCTATCATCAAAATTCACATACAATTCCCTGTTTCCTGGACACTCTGCTAATACAAAAACGTCATTCATCATTTCATCATTAAATAGTAAATTTTGAAGACTTGTTCTTACAAATTGACTTTGGTTGACAACTTTAGGACTAAAAAGAGTTTAAAGTTTGACAATGACTTTGAGAACATAACATAACCATTATCTGGTTGTAGAATTTGTAGCAATATCGTAATTGGAAACAAAGGTAGGCTATCTATAATCATTCAATAAGTCAAACCAGTTCAGTCGCAATAAAAAGAAATTTAGTAAAATATTTTTCTTGGATAACTTACCATTTCTTAATACTTATTGATCCTTATATAAAAATAGGTTACCATATATAGTAAGATTAACATAAATCATGACAGTTAGTTTGATAACTAGATATATGTATTAAAACCAACCTTTGCCATCCAAATCTAACCTCTCCCGATACAAATACACTCTTACCTTCTCCCATGTCCTTAGCCTCTTCCTTGGCTCTTTTATATGTGACATCGAGATGTGGTAAGATTGGGTTTACACTCAATACTCCTTGGATAGGAGAAATGATCATTTTACCATCACAGACGGTAGCCACGGCAACAGTGCCTTCGTCTGTGATCACTCGAGTGGACTGGAGCGTCTGTTTGTCCATCGCATTACTAAAACAAATCAGGTTTTACTGTCATCACCTTCTGAGAAGTTAAACTAAAAGTATGACTGTGGTTTAAGTTTATAAGAAAACTGTACAACTAGCTCCTAATTGACCCTACCTCCAAAAATGCTGAAATAATTTGGAGAATAGTTAATACTTTGTTGGAGATCTTTTGATTTCCATTTAATATACTTATTTAATTTATTGTGTGGTTAAGGTTTATGTTCTTAGTTGTTCTTTATCCAAATAGTGATTAATGTATCACACAATTTTTTTGTGCCTGCTTCCTACAGAGACTATTTATTTTTATATTTTATACAATGTAGCACTACTGGTGTTTTTATATTTTATTATATGTAATCAAGGTGGTTATATTAAATATCACTTAATCCATTTCCTGACTTCTAACCCACTAATAATAATAATATGAAATATTTAGCACATATAATATGGTCATCATAAATATCATAATGTGTTAACATTTAACAAGATAATAATAGACACAAACATAAGCAGGATAACAGATATGTATATAAATAGCAAGATTGAAATGTTAAATCATAAAATAAATATCTTATGAAAATCACAGAGCTTTGAAAGTAGTTCTGTAGATGATTTATAAAATATGTTACTCGGAATGAATTCTAAAACATTTTTATTGTACCTTTGGAAATATTTCTCACTGGGCTTCTGGTTCTTTCTGTCGTCAACGTCGATTGCAATCTGCTTTCCGTGGCTTATGTCGTAGTTACGAGAGTTTGTGTCAATCGCCTTCTCCATCACAAGCTCTTGGTTGTTTGGTTTGAAGGAGCACTGTCAAACAAAATAACCAACCTAATTTAAATTTAGACCTACATATTACAAAAATATAATTGATAGGTTTTGCATGTCAAATTTATTTTCAGTTTTGCCACATCTAATTGAGCTGTAAAGCCAATTTCTTTACAGTAGAAGACCCCTCTACATTCTTAATTCACTTAACAAACATTTTTCATACGGACCAGCAATCAAAATTTTAAATGTCTATAATAAATGTAAATTACAAACTCGTGATATTAAACATCTGTTGACCAACATTGTTGCGTCACGTGAGGGACTGGGTTCGAGGAATGTCACAGCAATGCGATTGTGGTAACGTGCCAGCCACTTGTCATTTAAAAACTACAAAATGTCCAAGGCCTTTCCTCAAGGCTCTTAGTTCAATTTTGGTAAAATTTCAATTTGGCTGTAAAATAGTCTACGTATTTGAACAAACCTATTTATCCCATTTCACATCAATGTACATACATATTAAGTGTAGGACTATTATATATTCAATTGTATCCATCCAAATGTTCTTTTTTATACTGTATTATAGTAATTTGCTATAATACTGTTGATGGTTAAAGCACATGTTACCATTGCTATGTTTACATTTGAGTATAACTATTATTGTAAATTATTATAGCTACTTGGCAATCCATATGACCAATGTATTTCCAAAACCAAATTATTCTGTTTTGCATCCTCACAGTTAGAATAGAGGTTTGCTACATACCTTAATAATGTTGTCATTCTCTTGAGAACGTCCTGCAGGTGTTGTAGGATATTGGAGTACAAACAGCTGATTTTCCAAGGCATGTGACAAGAACACTGGCATCTGCGAAACAAAATATATAAGTCTAATACTAGAGGGCAAATATTGTGAAGAGGGCATGTTTGGTAATGTTTTTGTGAGTAGGCTGAAAGCTTTGTTAAACATGTTACATATATAATGTATTATCCACCAATGATCACATATACTATACATAATGCATTATATATGTAACAAAACAATAGCTTGTTGTGCTGATATACAGGAGGCTGTTGCTTTCAGTAGGTCAGTGCACTTGATCAGAGGGTCAGTTTTGTGTTTAGCGCGGTGTACTGTAGGACAGGGTTCTGCTGGGAGAGCTGGAGCCCAAGGCCCCTTGCTGGGGATGAGCTAAAGTCAGGGGCGGCTCTAGAGGGTAGGCCCGAGCCTATAGGCCTATCTTTCTCCACTCAAGATGACAAAAATATTGATTTTTCATTGAACTCAATTTTTTTCTAAAACCCGTAACTGACACTGAAATAGTTTCAATTATCAAATATTCTAAATACAAAAAAATCATTAGGTTATGATTAACAGTCACTGCAGCAATCTAGTCTCATTGAAGCCATTATAGATTTTGTTGATAAAGGCTTAAATACTGCTGGAACGTTTATGGACATGTCACAGGCCTTGCCAAACAAGCTTAAGAAAATGGCCATTAAGGGTGTTGCACATAAATGGTTCACTTCATATTTGGAGGATCGCTATCAATTTGTAGAACTCTCTTATTTATCAAAAAACAATTGAAACAGAAGACAAAATCAGATTTACTACAAATGCATCTAGGGGTTCCTCAGGATTCTATTTTGGGCCCTATTTTATTTATATGCTACATTAAAAACCTCCCAAATGCATTTACTGAGTCAGCCAGTAAATTAAGTAGGCCTATATATGCTGATGATATCAGTATTAAAACTTTGTGTAGTTCAATTACTGATATTAAAAATTCTACTGAATTGGAGCTCAAAAATATTGAACAATTCTTAACAAACAACAATTTAACACTAAATACAAACAACACAAATTTTGTTCTCTTTCATACAAATAAGATCAAAAAAGATCAAACCCCTAAAAATACTCTAATTAATAACCCGATCAATCAAGTGAAATCAACCAAATTTTTAGGCTTGATCATTGATGAACATCTAAATTGGAATGAACATATTAAGTATTTGGTTGTAGTCAAATTAATTCAGGCTTGTTTGTTGTAAGATCAATTGCTTATCTCAATTAGATTTTTCTACGTAGGGAATCAATTGAACTTTATAATAGTAGTGTTATTTGGCGTCTGGATTAATCTTGGAGTTTGTAAATCAAGTTTACTTTCATAAAATTGTTTTTTAAACTTTTATTTTTATAATCTTTATAATTTTAGTTTTTTTTTTTTTAGTTTTACACTTTGACTATCCAACTACCACTTTTCTGTAGACAATTTTACTGTGAACAAAATGGTGAAAGAATTTATTACCTAAGGTTTTCTTTCTATAGCAATTAGAGTAAATGTCTACAAATCTGGTAAAATTAATTGCCGACAGAGGGTGCTGCAGGCAGCGCATTAATTCCTTCCCCAAGGGGTTAAAATTGATATACCGTACCACTTCGCTTATAGAATGTCATATTGACCAAGATATCTTTTAGGATATCTTTAATCGTTTAGGTTCTTTTAGGTTTTAGGTTTATTTTTTAGGTTTGAGTTTAGAGAGGACATCATGAGATGAGACACAGGAGACAGTGAGGCACGGGACGCCAGGCAGGATCGGTGAGTGGAGCGCACGCCGACATAGGTCGTCGTTGCTGCCCAGCTGACAAGGCTGGGCTTCAAAAAAAATTTTAGAATAGGCCTTTTACATTTTTTTGCAGCTATAGAGGTGAATACAAATAGGCCTACGGTCAAATGGTATAGGCCTATACAATTTAAATTGATTGATTGGAATTAGATTTATAAATACAACACAACAATTTTTAATTGATGGAAATTTGTCAATTATTAATTTCAACCAAATTATATTTTAAAAATTAGCATTTAAGACCACCTTAGCCGCAAGCAGCAAAAAACATTGGCAATATTGTTGCTATGAGAGGACCCCATGGCCCTGGTTTTTTTCCGGTGGGGGGCCTCAAATCACCATCTAGCCGAGGGCCTCCAATGGAGCCATACCGGGCCTGTGGTCGGAGGCATTTAAAAGAAAAAAACAACAAATAAACAAATTATAGCTACACAAAACAACGATAAATGCACAAATTTAAGTTACAATCATGCTAACACGATACGTCATAGCTACACAAAACAACAATAAATACATCCGTCTTGGGGGCTATGTTTACACAAACTTAAATAGTAATTAAATGTACTCAATACTTATGTTTCATTGAATTGAAAAATAAATAACAGCAATAAAATTATACAGCTGATCAAAATGTAAACAATTATGTTCTTCATAAGGATAATATATGGGAACTTTCAAAGCCACTGGGGCAGAGCCCAAGGGACTTTTAAAAAAATGTAAGGCCAGTTTGCAAATCTATGTGACACACTCTTTCCAATGAGATGTCAATGGATAAAATCCGTTAAGAAATGGCGGAGGAGTCCAACCGACAAAGTTTCATATAGCGTATTAATTATATAGATGACTCACATTATTAAATGTTAAATTTACTACCGTAAATTAGTTTGTTATCACGAATAGGTCTAACAAAATTAAAAATAACAACATATTAATTACATTAATGTGAATTACTTATTCAATACAATTATTGAATGATTGCTAATCAATTTCAATAAGAATTAACTCCAATCTCTTGGTCCCATTCGTCTCACGGGCCTCTCTTCTCGCCGATTCCCGCTTTACGCCCCCTCCCCCCTACATTGGGGGCCCGGGCCTTTCTGTTACGCCACTCGTTGTGACGGATCATCCACATCCACTTCTAAGAATTAACAAATTCAGACTGTAATCCCTGCTCCCTGGGTTGATTATGTATAAAAAATCTGTCTCAAATTTTGTCGTTGATTTATTCAATTTATTTATTATTAGGTCTTTTTCTGATTTTTAATTACTCTGATTACCATACTAATCTGATTTATTCTGAAATAAACCTAATGTTTTGGTCATAGCCTACTTTTGTTTTGTAAGTCAGTTATGCTTGCGGGTCTAAATGAATTTCGGTACAAATTAATTGGTTCACCACAAATCTTAGTAAATAACTTATATCCCTAATTTAAAACTATTAAGTCGATTTGAAATTTACGTAACCTTACGTACATCCTTGGATGGTATGTAAACAAAAACCTACGTAAGAATCGAAGTATAAACGCCCCTCTTTTCAATGATGATCAAACTTACAAAACCCAAACAAAATTTTCATACTATACTAGGGTAGGCCTACTTAAGATAGGCCAGTTAGCCTTAGTAGACTAATTAGAAATCATAAACCATGACCCCTACCTAACTTACCCAAGTGCAAAAAATGAATAAGTTAGGCCCTGCCTAACTTAACTTAGCCTAGACCTTAGATACCTAAATTTAGAGAGGCTAGCCTCTAAATCTCTTTACTACAAGGTGGGCCTAGGCCTGTGCTATTACATTTATTTAAGGTCTATGTTTAAAACAAGGTACTGTAGGCCTATACTCCGCGCCAAAGATGGTGGCGGCTGAGGGATTAGGACGGCCAGGTAGGACTATAGGTTGGACCTGCTCACCGACCTGGCCGTCCTAATCCCTCAGCCGCCACCAGCTTTGGCGCGGAGTATAGGCATTATTGTAACTTAATAGTTTACCTCGCTAACAACAGGGTCTTCTTCGTCACTCATTTTGTCCACTCCACAAAAACTTTGCGTCTTCTATATCACGAGGTCTAGATTTCTAATCTGAGTAATCTGACCAAGACACGAGGTGAGGACGAGACGACGAGACACGAGACCCGATGCGATTGAATCCATCTATCGAATCGAGACTCGCTCGAGAGCCTAGATCTCACACGATCTATCGATACTACGATTGGATTCGAGTAAAAAACGGTACAGTGTCTTACCATAGATTAAAAGAAGTGAACATACTCCTTTTATCTATGGTCATACCTTATAATGGCATAGCTTATAATTGCGAATTTGTTCAATAGCTTACAATCGTAGAAATGTGGCATAGCCAGTGCCGGATTTACCACTAGGCCGATTAGGCCGCGGCCTAGGGCCCCAAGCAAGAGGGGGCCGCAGAGGATTGGGAAAAACATTTTTTTAGATAAAATTTTTAAAAAATAATTTATTTTAAACCACCAGTTTGCCGCGATCAAAGGTGACCATAATGATGTCTCCATGGACCGTGGGAGATGTTCACGATTTTGCCGCGGCCTCGGGCGCCTGTGATGATGTCCCGTGATTGCGGCCCGCGGGAGACGTTCATGATTTAGCCGCGGCCGCGGGTGACGTTCACGAATTAGATGCTGTATCGAGTTTTTAATGATGATGTCCCCGTGATTGCGGCCCGTGTGCGGGAGATTTTCACGATATCGCCGCGGTCACAAGTGTCGATGATGATGTCCCCGTCATTGCGGTCCGCGGCAGATGTTCATGATTTCACCACGGCCGCGAGTGTTGACGACGCATCCCCGTGATTGCGGCCCACGGGAGATGTTAACGATTTCGCCGCGGCTGGGGGTGTCAATGTGGATGTCCCCGTGGTGGCTTACCGAGGAGGATGTTTACGATTTCGGCACGGCCGCGGGTGACAATGATGAAGTCCTCAAGATCGCAGTCCACGGGAGATTTCTTTAACACGAATTTGCCGCGATCGCAAGTGTCGATGATGATGTTCACGTGATTGCGGCCCGCGGCAGATGTTCATGATTTCACCGCGGCTGCGAGTGTTGATGATGATGTCCCCGTGATTGCGGTTCACGGGAGATGTTAACGATTTCGCCGCGGCTGGGGGTGTCAATGTGGATGTCCCCGTGGTGGCTTACAGAGGAGGATGTTTACGATTTCGGCACGTCCGCGGGTGACAATGATGAAGTCCTCATGATCGCAGTCCACGGGAGAGGTTTTTAACACGACTTTGCCGCGATCGCAAGTTTCGATGATGATGTCCCCGTGATTGCGGCCCGCGGGAGATGTTCACGATTTTACTGCGGTCCCGGATAGTTATGATATATATAGTTATATAGTTATGATGGCTTTGACTTGGTTTAGGAGAGATGTCCACGATTTCATCCAGGATCACGGGTGTCGATGATGATGTCCCCTTGATGTATAGGAGATAGTCACTATTACTTCCGCGATCGCAAGGAATTTTCACCACAGGGGGAGGGCCGCTCAAGTAATTTGGCCTAGGGCCGCAAGTACCCTAAATCCGGCACTGGGCATAGCTTATAACGGTTTTCTTAAAACGTGGCATAGCTTATAATTATTTGCCCGGGAATGACGTCATCGGGGATCGAAAATGAACCTCAAGTTATCGCATGGACTAGCAGCCGCTACTCGGCAATAATTTGCGTTAAGTCAACCACCAACGTAACGAAACCAAACGTATTTCATACTCCTGAAGGCCAAAAAATGTCATATTTTCGGTATCTATTGTTTTTCTTAATATGTACACTGAAAAATATTACCATAAATTTCATACTGCTCGTGTTACTTATTTATTAATTGATTTACTTACTTATTTATGAATTATAATTGATAACTATTTCGTACTGTGTAATATTTTTCTTCACGTTTAACAAATTTAGTTTCCCAGCATAAACTTTTATCCAACCACAAATAATCTTGAATAAATTCAGTGGTGGAGATAGTGGGCCCGTGGTGCGGGGGGGGGGACCTCTGTGCCTTGGCAGTTGCCGAGGTGGTTAGGGATAGCCCTAATCTCGAATGCCTAGTTGAACCGATGGTCATTTTAGGGTGATGTCCAGTTGCACCGGGGACCGGCGGTCAATCATCCCTGACGCCCTCCCCTCAATTGAAATGTTGTTAAACGTAGTTAGTACGTTAAACGGTTAGGTTAGGTTGGGTTGGGTTAGGTTAGGTTAATTTTGGATGGGTTTACAAAAAATACAATTCAGTTAATATATTTCAAGACAAAGAGATAAACGTTTTATGGTAAAATTATATGATAGAGTGTGTTGATATCAGCCTATGTGTTTGTAATGTTCGTTTGTTACTCTTTACCCTGTAGCAAAAAAGGGTTAGCTGTAGTTCCCTATACATGGTAAATATTTAGCGCTGACTATATACGATGGAACGTAAAAGAGGGGATAGGTATATAAGAGCGTTCGAGGTGGGGAAGGAGGGTTGAGTAGTATTTGCGCCGAGTAGTATTTGCGCCGCGTAGCACCAGCGCCACGCCAGCTAATTAGATGAGGGTTAGCAGTTTTGACAGGTTAACAATGGCGGAACCAATCAACTCCACTAATAGGATTATTGAGGACTTATGTTCCTACCACATTTTACTTTCAGCGTAAAGTGGTTGCATGCAGTCACCTCGTGACCCATGCTAATGGTTACACATAATTTTAAATCTAATAGGCCTAACTGCAAAATTGATGCCACCAAAAATATCTGCACATATCGTTCACTGGTTGACAACAATACACAGTACACTCCGCCGTTTCAGTATAAGGGCTACCTAAAACCAATTAATTACCAATAACTCAAAAGAGAGGAAATTACGAAAAAAAATTAGTTTGTTTCTGTACCAGGTTTGGTAGTAATACATCGCGCTTCGTGAAGCCTGGGAGTTGAGACAGGCCTTATATCAATTTAAGTTTATCTTAAGTCTAGAAATACAAGTACATATTAAGTTTACAAAATAACTCTCTAAAACGTGTAGTGGCAATACCACAAAGATACCCCACTTTAGTCGTTTTTCACCATAAAAATAACATGGGGATAATTTTTTTGCCACTAATTCCAAAAATCCTGATCTTTGCCTACATATCCCTACATATAATCCTCATATACTATATTCGAAATCAAGCTAAAAAGGCTAATTCTTTAATTTACTGACCCATTAAATGTAAAGTACAGTAGGTATAATATAGTAATATGACCTCACTTTAGGCACTTTTTCTCCATAAGAATAACATGGGTGAGTTTTTCTAGCCATTTTCTAATGACCCTGCTTTCAGCCTATACAAGCCCATGCAAATGTTCAATACTATTGTACAACTCGATAAACATTACAAATCCCCATCCATTCCCACGAATATTTTAAAAATCATCAACTTGACAGTGCGAGGTTTGCACGTGAACTCGGGCGCGCTCCCGGCCTGTGCATATCGCTTCTCGTGCGATTTTGATTAAATTTGGCATGAATGTGTAAGGTTGAATCACCTTGATTAAGTTTACGAACCACCAACGAATATCGGAATGAAACCTGTTGTTATTTACCTACACATATAGGTCCTAATATAAATAAATTAACGATACTTACGTCTTCTGTACCATAATGTTAAATTCGCAAAAAATGGATGTATTTTTATTTATTTTATACTAAGCTTTCCACATTTTACTAAAACTCCACTTTAATAGTTTCCTCGGGTCGCCGGATGACTGCCCCCCGGAAAACTACCCCCCCCCCCAAGCAGGTCCCTACGTCATATTGACGTCAGAGACCGGGGGGCAGTTTTCCAGTCACGGACACTCAAATTTAGTTGTCAAACAGTTCTAATCTAACCTAACCTAACCAACCAAACTTGCTGTAACATTTCGAAAATCGGTTTTATATTCACCACATGCCTTTCCTATTATCCAACGGAATTACTCGAATTAAAATTAAAATTACATAGCATGATTTGTCTAGGGGGAGGGGGGGTAGTATTCCAGTCGCGGACACGGCTTCCATATTGGTTAGTTAGCAGATTTTGTGGCGTCACGTTTCACCTGGGGGGGTAGTTTTCCGGGGGATAGTATTCCGCATCCCCGTTTCTTCGTAGCAGCTAACCTAGGTACTCGTTCAGACAAATGGAAATTCGCTTAGTCGGCAGGTTTGCTGCGGCGGGGGTATTGTCTGTTTAGTTTAGCTAAGTGTTAACACACAATAAAACTGTGTACCTGATACCATAAGGTTTTTTGTGTAATAACTTTTCACCCGTTTTGATTAACCAATGTTTTCGATGTAGGTGTCCTTGTACATCTTATGATATAGCAGAGGGACGAATGGTAGCTAACGTTTTAATCACCAGTGGTAAAAAGCCTTTTTAGTCCCTAGGGAGTACAAGTCAACTTACAATGTCGATTGTAAGCAATTGCACGGTACGAAATTATTTATCGATTCATTTATTCGGTTAGAGGTTTCAGAAAGGTTTTATTGTAGCTTATTGTTGCATTCTTATCAATTGTGCGACATATCGATCATATAATGTACAGTAGGTCAATTGTAGTATACGAAATGATTGAAAATTGAGCCCTTCTTTGTGGATTCTACGATGTTCATTCTGCTAAATTCTACTCGAAACTGACAATGACAACACCATTGAGCGACCAAAGGTAACATAAGGGAGTGGGTTACTACGAAAGGTATGGGGATATATACCCCTAGCAAATCCCCTTATTACCAATATGCCGAGCTGTTTGCATTCCACATAGCACCGCAGACTATCCTGGTGCAACTATTCTCTAAAAACTTCATAGGAAAACAAAAGCCCCCCTTTCTCCTAAATTAGTAATGTGATAAGTAGAAAATGTCTACTGGTTATAATAATTATAGTTCAGGAAAAATATCTATACTAACTCAATACTGCATGTGGGGGTATACAAGTGTTTAATAATTTTTTATGTGCAATAGTGCACTACTAGTACAAGTTAATTAGGAGTATGGA